AAAAAAAAAAAAAAAAAATATATATATATATAGCAAAAAAACACATTCTCATTATTGTAATGCATTAAAATAATTTAAATTATTGAAGTATTTCTACATCATGTTAGTAACATTATAGTCGTTCTTTTATTGCTTAGGTTTTTATTGATATGAATGTCTTATGTCATAACTCTACAAAGGAAAATGAACATTTAATGCCAGACATGTAAGAAACACCATTGTATATTTATAAAAATAATATTTAAAATATATGCACTACCACTCAAAAGTCTGGAGTAATTAAGATTTTCTAATGTTATTGAAAGAAGTCTCTTCTGCTCAGCAGGGCTGCATTTATTTAATCAAAACTACAGTAAAAATTGTGAAATATTATTATAATTTAAAACAGCTGTTTTCTATGTGAATATGTGTTAAAATATAATTTATTTCTGTGATCAAAGCTGAATTTTCAGCATCATTACTCCAGTCTTCAGTGTCATCATGTGACACACATATTCACATAGAAAACAGCTGTTTTACATTATAATATGTGAAATTTTTTACAGTATTTTCACAGGTTCTTCCTCACTCACATGTCGCTCAGCGTGGCGTGGTCTGTGGTGATCCTAGAGAAGTGGTTCTCCAGGATGGTGAGGGTTCCTGTCAGAGCGACGTGTCCGCAGCCGCAGAAGAGCGCCACGCCGCAGAAGCACAGGATGGTGGCCACCAGAGACGCGTACGGCACGCCGCCCAGACATTTAATACAGCACTCGAAGCAACCTGCACACACACAGACTCTGTTAACACTCGTTACAGTGTGAAGAGCTCCACACTCCTGGATGCACATGCTTTCAAACACTGTGTATACTAGGGCTGCGCAATATATCGAAATAAAATCTGCATCGCAATATGGCTTAGTGCGACTGTCAAATCATGCAGGCTGGGATTTCCTGAAATAAATATATGCTTCACTGGTTGATGTATAGTTCATGATAGTGTTTACGATTATTTACTGTGAATCTAAAACCTGCAGCACATATTTTAATTTGCTGCAACTTAGCAAAAATATTGATGTTTACCATTTAAAATTGAAGAAATTAAGGCATTATTTATTAATATTGTAATTTTACAAAAAAAGAAATAAACAAAATTATCTATTTTTCTGTAAAGTATTATTGCAAAAAAAAAATAATTACAAATATTTTAAATAATGGCTTATTTTTATTTTAATCACAAAATTACAATTATTATTTATTATTATTTATCTATTTTTAATTTTACATTAATATTAGCATTTATTTATTATTTTATTTTTTATTTCCTAATATTAAAATAATCTGAATATTATCAACAATCGCAATAAAATTATGATAATAATTATTATTCTATAGTCATATTGAATTTAAAAAAAATTGATTATTAATATATAATGCAGATCCACTGCCCAACAAAATCTATGGAAGCCTGTTTCCACCACGGAATAAAAATAGCAAAAACTTTTTAATCTCACAATTCTGACTTTTTTATCACAAATGCAAGTTTATTTCTCGCAATTATGACTTTATATTTATATTTCTAGAGAAGAGCAGCCCTAACATATACTATAGAATTAAATGAATAATTCATCCAAAAATGAAAACTGTCATTTACTGATGCTTATGTTTTTCCAAACCTGTATGTTTTTCATGCTTTGTGTGGGGAAGCAAATTAAGTCATAAGCGATTAATCTTACCCAGCAACGAAACTCTGAAATATCATTCGTGATCATATTTATATTAATAAATGACATGTTGTCCTCACATAAAGTCTCATATCACTTCAAAAGACGGACTACTGTTATGGTACTTTGATGATGCTGTTTGTTCTTGTTGTTTCAAAAATCTTAAGTTTTCCACAGAAAAATAAGGAAAAAATGACAGCATAATAACATGAGAGTCAGTAAAAACAAAAAAATGACAGGTTTTTCTGCTTTTGGGTGAATTATTCCGTTAATAAATGTGCCATCGAACTGTGAAGCTCCTAATTAAAAACAGTGTAAAGCACAGAGTGTGAGTGTGTGTGTGTGTGTGTGTGTGTGTGTGTGTGTGTGAGTGTGTGTGTGTGTGTGTGTGTGTGTGTGAGTGTGTGTGTGTGTGTGTGTGTGTGTGTGAGTGTGTGTGTGTGTGTGTGTGTGTGTGTGAGTGTGTGTGTGTGTGTGTGTGTGTGTGTGAGTGTGTGTGTGTGTGTGTGTGTGTGTGTGAGTGTGTGTGTGTGTGTGTGTGTGTGTGTGAGTGTGTGTGTGTGTGTGTGTGTGTGTGTGAGTGTGTGTGTGTGTGTGTGTGTGTGTGTGAGTGTGTGTGTGTGTGTGTGTGTGTGTGTGAGTGTGTGTGTGTGTGTGTGTGTGTGTGTGAGTGTGTGTGTGTGTGTGTGTGTGTGTGTGAGTGTGTGTGTGTGTGTGTGTGTGTGTGTGAGTGTGTGTGTGTGTGTGTGTGTGTGTGTGAGTGTGTGTGTGTGTGTGTGTGTGTGTGTGCGTGAGTGTGAGTGTATGAGTGAGTGTGAGTGTGTGCGATTGTGTGTGTGTGCGCGTGTGTGTGTGTGTGTGTGATTGGCTTTTCAATCAGTCCAGATTTTCACAAACAAAAACAAACAAACAAACCAATAAAAAACACGTGCAAACTTTGGCTATCGGTTGGTTTTACAAAACAGAGAATGCATGCACACAAGAACGAAGACCATAAAATCAACTCTGCAGGTATCCTGCTGGAAAACAGCCATTAATACCTGATGGAGCCGGATATGGGAACGTGAGTGTATGTTAGCCTTCTGTTAGTCGCTCATCACCTTAATTAGGACATACTAATAGTGTGGTCAGTTCTGGACGGTCCAGAATGATAATCGATGAGGACTGATAACGGCCTGATGAAGTGACTCACATGAGGTAAAAAAAAGCCTAATTTAAACAAGACAAGGGAGAAAAATAATGACCCATGAAACTAATCAGCGGGATATTTAAAGAGTTTAACAACTGAAGGATTAGATGCATGTACAGCAGTGTTTGGTAGTAACTAAATTAAAGTAGTGTCAATGCTAATTTAACTACATTTTACATTTTACAGTATCATGACAGCCATATAGCAGTTTTCAAAACATCCCAAAAATGTATTTTAAATAAATATTTTAAACAATTATTTAAAATATTTATTTTTATTTATTTATTTATTTTTAAAGGAAGATTTTTGGCATTGTGACATTATATTCCTGATATTGTCATTATTATAATGTGTTTATAATTCTCATTATTCTCAACATTTTCATTAGGATGTATTATTGTAAAAATAAAAGCAGTACAAACAAATACTGCAATGACAAAAATATCAATGTTAATCATTTAAAATATTTAAAATAAATGTCATGTTACAGTAATTAGAAAGATGCATTATTTTAAGTATTTTAAGCATATAAGATTTTATTTTGATCCTGGAGGGAGAACTGTGATGAATTGTCATGAAAAGTCACAAAATAAAATAAAGTAAAGTAAAATGAAAAAAAAAAAAAAAAACAATAATAAAATAAAATAAAACATAAAATAATACAAATGAAAAAAAAAAAAAAAAGATTGGTTTTGTGAAAACATGAAAATGAAAAATGCCAGAATTTTCATTTTTGTGTG